TAGACTGTAAATAGCATTGTTAAACGCTATAATACTTCTGGTAAGATATTACTACAATCTCGTGGTAGAGACAGGCGTTCTAAACTTAGTTTAGATATAAAAGAAGCAATTCTTGCCTGGGTGGATGATGAACCGATTCTTAAGTTAAAAGATTTAAGAATAAAAGTCATCGAGACTTACGACATCGACGTATCAATCAGTACTATTGATCGATGTCTTCGTCAATTCCACTACACTTAAAACGAATTACATTAGTCCCTAAGCGTAGAAATAATTAAAGCACTATTGAAGCAAGGGCTGATTACGAGTGTCAATATCGTACTCTGGGAGCAGAGAATGAAGATAAAAACTTTGTCTTTCTCGATGAACTAGAAATTTCGGTGGTGACACACCCAAGTAGAGGCAGATCTTTAAAGGGAAATCTCCATACCTCACTGTCCCTGCCTCCAGAAGTAGAAATATTTCTGTTGTGGCAGCAATGAACAAATATGGAATGGTTTTCCATAAAGTTTATGAAAGGGCAGTAAACGGAGAAGATTTTTAAATTTCTCTTCGAGAATTAAAGGCTGCTTGTACTGAGAAAGGAATTTAGTCTCCTGTTTTTATAATGGATAATACCAGAATCCATCATTACAGGGGACTTATGGAAGACAATGAACTTTCTCAATGCACTCTAAAGTATTTATCCCCTTACTCACCTTTTTTAAACCCGATAGAAAATGTTTTATCTGTTTGGAAAAATTTAGTTGTGCACGGAGTGCTTTAAATGAAAATCAATTGAGACTTCTTATTGTGGAATCTTTTAATAAAATAACTTATGATCATTGCGGATCATTTTATCGAAAAATGTTATGTTTTTAATAAGATCTGCGGCAAGAGAGATTATTTATGAATAAATTTTGTTTTATTGTTTTATTATTTTTTTCATGTCTTTATATCTTTGTAAATCCTAAAGAAAATGTGATTATGTAATTAATTGCAAAACTTATTCATATAGTTGCAACAGTTATTATATTGATTGCAAAAACCGTATTTTACCAGTTGTAATACGCAATTGATTGCAACAATTATTCATATGGTTGCAGAAAATATGATATTGATTGCAAAATTACAAAAATTACAGTTGAATTATTCAATTGATTCCAATAGTTATTCAATTGGTTGCAATGATTATTATGTTGATTGCAAAATTCTATAATAATTTTAAAGAAGATTTTAAAAAATTACTTAATTAAGAATTTAAAATTTAATAAAATTATTCTAAAATAATTCCAATACCTAATTCAAGGTATAAATCATAAATAAGATTAAAATATGATAAATCAACAACTTCTTCTTCTCCAAAGAAATTAAATAAATCACACTTTTCCACTCCTTCTCTATAATTAATTTTATCTAAATGACCCTTATTATCATCTAAACAAATAATACGCTCTAATTTAGTGTTCTCAATATAAGGATTTTCAAATACTTCCAATTCAACTTTTGCTTCAAAGTTTTCTAGAAGAGTTACTTTCAACATATTGATAAAAGACATGTCATAATACTCTATATCCTCGTGTATATAAGTTGCTAATAGAGACGGATATTTTGGAAATGCTTTAATGATTTTCTCAAACAAATCTACATCCTCGTATGTACGATATGGTAACAGAGACTGGAATTTTGGAAATGCCTTAATGACTTTCTTAAACAAATAAACTTTCTGTTCTCTTGTTAAAGATCTGATTGCTGTATCTCTCTCCTTTAAGAAAGGTTCCATAAGATTATGATACTTTAATTTCAAGTTAAACATCTCATATCTGTATTCAATTTTATTTTTATTTATCTTACGCTGTTCTTCTATAATTTTTAATTTAAATTGTTCTCTTTTTCCATTTGATTGAATCTATAAAAATTTTTTAAAATTTTATTTTATTAAATAACAACACTTTTATGATTTGTGATTTCTAACTAAAATCTTTAAAGATACTTAGTGTCCTGCCTGTATAATTAATTGAATTGTTTGTAACTTTAATAAAATTTAAATCTTTATTCATAATAATTTATTTAGATTTTTTTTCCCTTAAATGCTTAAAAAGGAATTAAGCCAATTATCATATGTTTCAATTGACTAATTGAAACTAGTCACATCATCAGTTGATGCTGGTGTGACAACTAACAGATTATAAGGAAAACACTAATTATATTAATAGTTTTAAAGAAGATTTTAAAAAATTACTTAATTAAGAATTTAAAATTTAATAAAATTATTCTAAAGAAATTCCATTACCCAATTCGCAGTATAAATCATAAAAAAGATCAAAATATGATAAATCAACATCTTCTTCTCCAAAGAAATTAAATAAATCACACTTTTCCACTCCTTCTCTATAATTAATTTTATCTAAATGACCCTTATTATCATCTAAACAAATAATACGCTCTAATTTAGTGTTCTCAATATAAGGATTTTCAAATACTTCCAATTCAACTTTTGCTTTAAAGTTTTCTAGAAGAGTTACTTTCAACATATTGATAAAAGACATGTCATAATACTCTACATCCTCGTGTGTACGAGTTGGTAATAGAGACTGGAATTCTGGAAATGTCTCAATGATTTTCTCAAACAAATAAACTCTCTTTTCTTTTGTTAAAGATCTGATTGCTGTATCTCTCTCTTTTAAGATAGGTTCTATAAGATTCTGATACTTTAATTTCAAGTTCCACAACTCATACATGAATTCAATTACCTTGTTTTGTATCTTACGCTGTTCTTCTATAATTATTAAATTAAAATTGTTCTCTTTTTCCATTTGATTGATTCTATAAAAATTTTTAAAAAATTTTATTTTATTAAATAACAACTTTTGTGATTTGTGATTTCTAACTAAAATTTTTAAAGATTCTTAGCTTTTTAATTGAAAATCAGAACTTTATGTTTAAATTTATAAATAAAGAATAAAATTTTTTATTAACTTAACTTATTTTTTAGTTTAAAAGGTATTAAAAAAAGATTGAAAATTATATTAAAAGAAATTATTAATATTTATTTAAAAACACTGATGGAATTTTTTATATGAAAATGATTTAGTTATTAATTTTATCAATTTTAAACTAAATGATATTGTTTAAATAAGATAATTATCAGTTTTTATAATTTAATTAATTGATAAAAAGTTTATTTTAATTACCAAAACAATATAATATAAACTTATAATTATTAACAATTGATTTTAAATATCTATTCATATAAAAAACCTTTATTATTTATTTTAATGAAATCAATAATTCAATATTTAATTAAATTCAACATTAAATCTTATCAAATATATTTGTTTACTTACTAAATTTAAAAATTAATATTTTTGTTTATGTTGTTTATTTATAAAAAATGTAGCCCATAAATTAATGAATATAGAGAAACACGAGCAAGATTTAAATAAGTTTACAAAATATATTTGGGTACGAGAAAACAACTGTTTTAAGAAGGTAGAAGTACTAGATGAAGATCTTATGACACTTACAACCATTGATAATGTCAAGTATAACACCAATGATGTTTTTAATGTAAATCCTATACAATTTGATAATATTTCTAATTTGGCTAATCTCACATATCTTAATATTCCATCTATATTGGATGTTTTAAAAAACAGATACTTTGAGAATAAGAATTTTACAGAGTCTGGTTTGTTTTTAATTAGTATTAATCCTTATAGAAAAAATTTTACAAGCTTATCAAATGATTTTGATCTTAAGGAAACAAAAGATGATGAACCAAATATTTATAAAACGGCTCAGAAAGTATATAATTCTTTATGTGAGAGTAACAGGAGTCAGTCAATATTGGTAACTGGTGAATCTGGTGCAGGTAAGACAGTGAATACTAGAAAATTGATTGAATTTTTAGGAATGTTAAATAACAGAGAATTAGATGATATCAACAATTTATTGATTTTATCTAATCCTATATTGGAATCATTTGGTAATGCTAAGACTGTTAAAAATGATAATTCTTCAAGATTTGGTAAGTTTGTACAGATTTATTTCCAAAACAATCAGATTATTGGTGGTAAAATTGAAAAGTATCTTTTAGAGCTATCAAGAGTTACACATATTAATTCTAATGAAAGAAATTATCACATATTTTATTATTTGTTAAATAGCGGTAATAAAAATTTATTAGATATGCTTAAATTGGAGGGTAATGATTTTGGTTGTCTAAAAAATGGATGTTATACAGCTGATACAATTAACGATAAAGAAAGTTTTAAAATGTTACGATCAGGATTGAAAATGTTTAATATTGATGAAATTAAGATATTTAGAACTATAGCTGCAATTTTACATATGTCAAATATAGAAATAATTAATATTAATAACTCTTTAAAAATAAAGGATAAGAAGAAGGTTTCATTTATTTCTTCACTACTTTCAATTGATGAAAAATCATTTGTTGAATCGATAATAGAACCTAAAATGTGTGCAGGTGGATATGATGTAATCAATATAAGTAGAGATATAAAAAATTGTTATAAGATATTAGAAACAATCATAAAGACACTATATAATAATCTATTTAATACAATACTCGAACATATTAATAATAAGTTAGCTAATGAAATCAACCAAAGAAGTCTTTATAACAACATATTTATTGGAATATTGGATATAGCAGGATTTGAGATATTTGAGGAAAACGGATATGAACAATTATTAATTAATTATACAAATGAGAAATTACAGCAATACTTTAATCATAAGATGTTTATAGAGGAACAAAAAATTTACAAAGAAGAAGGTGTTAAATGGAATTATATTGATTTTGGATTAGATTTAGAGCCAACTATACAAACAATTGAGAATAAAGCAGGAATATTATCATTAATAGATCAATGTTCAATATTGAATAGTAAAGAAGAAGATTTAGTAAATAATATAAAGAAGATCAAATTAGTAGTAGATGTAAAACATAAAGTAGATTCATTTAAATTGAAACATTATGCAGGTGAAGTTGAGTATAAAGTAGATAATTGGGTTGAAAAGAATAAGCATATATCAAGTACAGAAGTAGATGATTTATTTAATATAAAATCAGATACCGGTAAATTAGGAATATTTAGAACAATATCACAAGAACATAAAGAAAATCTTAAACAGTTAATGAAAGTTCTTAATAATACCGATCCTCATTATATAAGATGTATATTGCCTAATCTTGATAAACAGCCTTATAAATTTGATAGTGAGTTAATTGTAAATCAATTAAAATGTAACGGTGTGTTAGAAGGGTTAAGAATATCAAGATTGGGATTTCCTACTAAAATATTCTTTAATGATTTTATATCAAATTATAGTATTTGTTTAAGTAATTTACCGGCATATAAGAATAACATAAATAATTTGATTAGAATATTAAAAGAAATGAATATTATTAATGATAATAATTATTTAATAGGAAAAAATAGAATATTTTTTAAACAAGGAATATTGGGTGAGTTAGAAAATATAAAAATACAGTATTTAATTAAGAATGGTAATTTATTAAGAAAAATAGTTAGTGTTAAAGTTAGTGAGATAAAAATTATAAGAAGTAGAATGATTGAAAATATAAGAGAGAATGTTGATATGGCAATTGATTTTAATAATTTTAAATGGTGGAGATTGTTCTTAAAAATTAAACCTTTGTTAAATGGAAATAGTGAAAATAAGATGGTAAAGTTAGGTAAAGAGAATAAAGAATTGAGTGAAAGGAATATAAAATTAAATGATGATCTCATTGATATAACTAATAAATATAATGACTTAATAGAAGATATCAATAATGATTATGTTAATTTATATAATAAAGCAACAGGTATAAAAAATGATTTAGATATTACTATTAAAGAAGATAAATCAATATTAGATGATTTGTGTGATAAAATAAAAAGAATAGATTTATCTAATAAGAATGATGCTATTAAAAACTTAGAAGAGTTGGTAAAAAAGTTAAAAAATGAAAATAATGAACTTTTTAATAAAAACAGTTTATTATTAACAGAAGTAAATAGTTGTAAAAATAAAATGATAGTACTTGAGAATGATAACAATAACCTTGAAGATAAAAATGTATACCTAAAAAAGAAAATAAATCAAATGGATTTACTAATAAAAAATAACATGAATAAATATGAACCTGTTAAAGAAACTAACATAGTTAATTATGAAGAAAAGATTCAATTATTAGAGAATATAAATAAGGAGTTAAAGAATGATAAAGATAAGTTGTATAATGAAAATATAAGTTTAAGCAAGAAAAGTATAGAAGATATGTTTAAAATGGATCGAGAATTAAAAAATTTAACAAATAAGTACACATTAGAGGTTAATAGACTTAAAGAAGAGAATAACAGATTGACAGAGGAATTAAATAAAGAAGAGAGTAGTGATGGGATTAACATGGATTCTATTTATAGAAACAAAGATTATATAGATAAAATCAATGAACTGGAGTTAAAAAATTATGATTTAGAAAATAGACTTAAAAACTTAAATATTAAAGATTTTAAGAATGAGTTAATAAGAATGAAAACAACAATTAACAGTCTTTATAAAGATTTTATAAATAGGTTTATAAATCTTATAAAAGAAAAAGATGAATATTATAAAAACATTATACTTGATTTGGAAAGTGAGGGAATCAATGAAGAAAATAAAGAATTGAATGGATTAGTAGTTAATAAATTGAAATTAAAGTTATTAAAAGAAGAAAATAAAAAGTTAACTAAACTTTATAATGAAAGAGAAGAAAGTTTATTGAAATATAAAGAATTATTAGATAATAAAGTGAGTTATTATAAAGAAAGAATGGAAAACATAGAAAAAAATTATGAAGTTATAAGTGAAGGAATGAGTAAGTTTATTAAGAATAACAAGATAGATAAAGAATTAATAAATATTAATATTAATAAGATGAATAATGAAAGTATAAACAGTAGTGTTTTATTAGAAAGTAATGAAGTTTATAAAGTAAAGATAAATCAATTAGAAAGAGAGAATGAAGATTTAAAAATTGGTATGGAATTATTAAAAGAATATGTAAATAAGAAGAAGAAATAAAATGAATTTATTAATCAATCTTAGATAGAGAAATTGGTGAACATATTATAATACCATTATTAGAAGATATAGCAATTTTATTTTCTTCTATTAAAGCAATATCTTTATAAAAACTTTCACTAGAATGAACAAACAATAGATATTTAGTCATTCTTGAATCATTTAATAGATTTAAATCCCAAAAACAAACTTTTTTTTCATTTCCACTAACAAAAACCCCATCATCTATAAATTTAATAGTTTCAATTGGACACTCACTACCTTTTATTTGTTCTTTATTATCACCATTTACAATTGTAATAACCCCCTTATCATCACCAAATACAATTTTATTATCCCAAACACTGATTGTATTAACATCACAATCATTAGTAAAAGTTTTTAAATTTTCACCCTCAAGAGTACTAATTTTAACTGTTTTATCACATGACGCTGTATACAAGTATTCATTAACAACGATTGATTCAATTTTATCTTCATGAATTGTTAAACTTTTTATTAGTTCAAGACCTTTATATACATCAATCATTCCATTTTTAGTACCCACGTATTGGTATTCATTATCAACAAATAATCCATATGAATATTGATTAGAAATTTCCTTAATTAGCTTTAGATCAAAATTAAAAATCATAAGCTTATTATCAGAAACTGCGTAAATATACTCATCATTCAATCTAATTCTATTAATAGGTTCTGACACTACAGTTGATTTAACATTAATAATCTTACCAATAGAATTATCTTCAAAAGTAATTTCTTGTATACAAGCTTCATTAGAATGTTCAACATCAGGATTTAAACCAACATAAATTTTATTCTCTTTATAAACAACAGTTTGAGAAGGCCAATCTAAATTAATATTCACTAAGAAGTTGTATAAATTATTATTATATTCATCTTCTGATAAGTCTAATTCTTCTAAACTATCATCACTATTTGAAAATTCTTTGCTCATTTTTAATTAAAATTTTTACTAAAAAATGAGCAAAGAATTATTAAATATAGCTTTAGAAATTTTAATAGAAGTAGAAGGAAAGTCAAATATTAAAAGTTCTAATAAATTTAATACGAAATATTTTAATGGAATACAAATTGATAAGTTAACTAAGATGCCTTTGTATATGGCAATTCATTTACAAAATCTTGATAAATTGACAATTATATTACCTGCTTATTATGAAGATAGTTTATTAGATGAAATAATAGAAAATGAGAATGAAGTTATTGAATTTACAACTCTTCCATGTGAATACTTTTTTGAGGTAGCTAAACTACTTAAAGTTGATAATCCTAAAATTGAAAGGATAGCAACAATTAGAAAGAATAAATTATTCTTTGGTATAAGTAAATTAGAGGGTAAATCAGTTCAAATAAATAATCTCACTAGATGGGAGTTTTGTGAAGTAAAAGAATTTATACTTGAAATTATGAAAATTGGTTCTAATATTAAAGTTACATCAAATGATTAAAAAATTTTAATAAAATTTTTATGAAAATAGAAGAAGTTGAAGCAGTGTTTGATGAATTTACTAGCAATCCTGAAGAATGGGATAATACAGGAATATTAGTTAATAGTTATTGTGAGTCAGATAAGATATTACTTACAATAGATTTAACTGAAGAAGTGATAGATGAAGCTATAAATTTTGGAATTAAATTGATTGTTAGTTATCACCCTTACATATTTAACCCACTTAAATCAATTGTTAGAAAAGATTATATTAAGTTAATTAAGAATGAAATATCAGTTTATTGTCTTCACACAAAATTAGACTTTCTAATGAATGATTATCTTTTTAAAAAGTATAATAATTATACTTTTCATGAGTTAACATCTGAATTAAAGAAAAAGTTCAATGTAAGTAAATTAAGGGGAGTATTTATAAATAATAAAACATTCTCACCAATGAATGATAAACTAGTTGTAATAGTAGGATCATGTTATTTACCAAAAGTAACTAATTCTTTTATATTAACAGGAGAAATGAAACATCATGATTTATTAGAAGCTAAAAGAAACAATAATTCAGTTATTTTATTAGATCATTCAAAATCAGAAAGAATATTTTTACCAGAACTTAAGAAAATCTTGAAACAAAAGTTACCTGAAGATATTAAAATTTTAATTTCAAAAAAAGATGAAGATCCAATAGAAATGTTTTAAAAAAAATAATAAATTTTTTATAAAAATAAAATGAGTGAAAAAGAACTAACAAAAGAAATAAAGTTTAGTGATTATGATTATAAACTAGATTTAAAATATGAGAAAATGATATTAGAGGAATGTGAAAGAATGCATGAAGATTTAGAAAATAAAAGAGTTTATATACCAGATTATTCTAAAGATGCAATGATTCTTTCATATATAAAAGAAGAAAAAGTACCACTTAAAGAATTTATAGAGAAAAGGAAACACCAAATTACATGTATTTACCTCAGAGAAATAGTAATAAAACTATATGATATGATAAAAGAAGAGTATAAAAACATATCAAAATTAATAGAATTGTATAAGAAAATAAGAAGTGTGTCAATTTTTAATAATCCACCACCAACATCAGATATCAATAATATAAGCTTAAATGTCGGAATAAACATAGAAATGATTAATAGAGTGATATTTCAAGATAAAGAAATAATAAGCAATTCAAAAGAATTACAAAGTATATTAGCAATAATAAAAAGAAAGAACCTTGGAATAAATAAGATATTAGCAATAATAGAGAATTTAAGTAATGTAATTTATGAAGGACAGAAATTAGCAGATTTTATAAATCACTATTCAAGTATTTTAAATCAAAATAAATAAAATAGTTTTATTGACTTTTAAAAAACTTAAACAATTCGAAATAAATCTTATGAATAAGATCAAGGAGAATAGCTAATATGATACCAGAAATGAATGCAGCTCTATCACCAAAAACATCTAAAATCTGATAGGGGTATTTTTTATGTACATATCTATGATATAAAATCATAAGAGAATAATAACTACACAGAATGTAAATATAGATCCTATGATAAGGTTCTCTACCAAACTTTCTCTGTTTAATTGATGTGGTGGTTGTATAAAGAAATGGGAAGAGATGATCTGATAAATTTTGAAGCGTTGATCTTATTATTGGAGTGCCATTGGAAGATAAGTTCATTCGTAAGTTTGGTGTAATAAAATGAACATTCCAATAAACGATAGCCACAACAGAATTTAAAGCATGAGTGATACCAAGTAAATCTCTATAAATATTATCAACCAACTTATAAAACTTATTAAATAACTCATTACAACAGTCTTTTTCAACTTCTTCCTCAGAAATTCCCTTTAAGAACAATAAGAATTCTAAAAAATAAGAGATAAAAGCAGTTAAAACAGTCAAATAAATAGAGTTGTTTGTTAAAAAGAATAAGTCCTTTATCTTAAAGGAATGAAATTTACATCCAATTACATTGTCAAAGAAGCTATATAAAGTACCAATAATGAAAAGAGTTCTTAAAGCGTTAAGTACGTTGTTAAATTTCTTTACTAACATTTTATAGGTAAAAAATTTTATTATAAAATAAAACACATCAACTGAGATCATTAAAATCATCTGTTTTCTTAGATTTAAATTTTTCCAAATCATCCATCATATCATCAAAATTAAAGCCTAAATACTCACTAACTTGATTCCTCAAGTGATTACTTTCTGAAAGATTTTTTAAATTTTGATTATTTAACAATTTCTTAGAAAACTGATTAATTAACTTGTAATTTTGAATGGTCTCATTAAGTTCATCAATTGATATTCCTGAACCTCTTGATATTCTTTTAAGTCTATTTGGTTCTTTAACAAAAAGATCTCCAAATGAATTTAACTCTGATTTAGACATCGAATCAAACGCGTATGTCATTCTCTTAAATTTAGATTCATCTGGTATTTTAATATTCTTAACTCCTGGTATCATATTAAGAAGTGATGAAATTGATCCAAGTGATAACATTTGTTTAAAATAACCATAATAATCTCCTAATGTCATTGTTCCTTTCATAAACTTATTCATTGCTTCTTCTTCATCGATATCTAATAAACTGAACTTTTCAAACAGTCCTTCAATATCTCCCTTCCCAAGTAACTTCGAAATAAATCTATTAGGATTGAATTGTTCTAATGAATTCATATCTTCTCCTGATCCTATAAATTCTATTGGACATCCTGTTGCTGCTACTGAACTAAGTGCTCCTCCTGCCTTTGATGCTCCATCTATCTTAGTTAGTATTATTCCTCCTACTTTTACACTTTTCTTAAATCCCATTGCCTGTTCTTCTGCTGACTGTCCTATACCTGCATCCATTACAAAGACAATATTATTTGGTTGTATTGCTTTTACTATCCCTTCCATCTCTTTAAATAATTCTGTTTCTTCTGTATGTCTACCCGATGTATCTACTAATATTAATTCAAAATTATGTCTTTTAAATTGAATTACTCCCGTCTTTGCTACTTCTACTGCATCTGGATTATCTGATCCAAAAAATGGTATGTTTATCTTACTACAATTCTGTTTGATTTGATCTAATGCTCCTGCTCTATATGTATCTGCACATACTATTCCTACTTTGAATCCTCTCTTTTTATAGAAGTTTGCATACTTACATATACTGGTTGTTTTACCTGCTCCTTGTAGTCCTACAAAAACTATCACATTGACTGTCCCCTTTTCAATTTTATAAGTTTCTGTTTTAGGATCTATAAACTCTATTAATGACTCAAATACAATATTCTGAATATACTTCACTTTATTTGCATTTGTTTGTATAGGCTTTTCTTTAATTCTTATCATCATATCATTCTTTAAATGTTCTACATGAGATGGCTTAACATTATTTGTTATTAACTTATCACATATATCATTTAATAATGTCTCTATTGTTTCATCCGTTACCCTTTTATTAAATAAACTTTGTAACTTATCTCCTATAAAGTTTCCTAAATCTTGTAACATTCTTTAATTATTTTTTTAAATTTTTTATAAAAACTAACTAGCTTAAAAAATTTTATAAAAATCATTTTCAATCAAAAATTAACTCTAAAAGCTTAAAACTTTAATTAAAGTCTATTTTTTGTAAAATAATTTATTTTACAAATTTAAAATATTAATGATTAAATTGATAGTACATTTCAGAACTATCCTGGTTGTAAGTTTGTTTTCTATAATCATCATAAAAGTCATTCTTTTGTTTAGCCCGACGATTTTGGAACCATATTTTACAGTTTTTAAGTGGTATTACTAACATATTTGATATAGCAATAAAATCCTCTTTCTTTGGATAATTATTCTTAAGGTAGATCTCTTCTAATGCGTCTATTTGTAACGGTGTTAATTTCCTTCTTGTTCTTTTTGGCTTTCCTTTATCTTGATAAATCTTCTCAATCTCTTCTTTACAATCTATTATTTTTATAGTTGTTTCTTCGTTGTGTTTCATAATAATAAGGGTAAAATATCTTTCATTATTTTTATATTGTAATTTATTGTTATTATGTTATATTTCAATCCAATTTGATTCTAATATTATCATTTCAATCCCTTTTTCTTAAAATTTACCACTCACTAATTAATCAATTTAAACAAATTAATAAAAAACAGTTTTTATTGCTAATTACACCGCTTGACATTATATCAATTTTAATTATTTATAAATCATTTCAAGTAAATTGATTCTTAAATTTTGAATAACTTTGATTTGTATGAGTTAGTTATTTTTTGAAATATTTTAAATTTTTAGAATTAAATTGATTGGTTTGACATATTAAAAAAATAAAGATATTTTTATTAAATGAGTTTTTATTAATATTTTAATTTAATAGACTTTTTTACTAAAGGAGTCTAACAAATCATAACAAATCAAACTTATTTAAAAATAAATAACAATTTTCCCTTTATGAAACTAATTATAGTAAGTAACAGATTACCAATTAAATTAAAAGAGAACGATGGAGAATATGAATATACGAAGAGTTCGGGTGGATTAGCAGCTGGTATTGACAACTTGGCAAATAAAAGGGATTTTATTTGGGTGGGTAATTTAAGTGGTTATGATTTAACTGAAAATGAACAAAAAAGAATAAGTGGTGATATTTGGACTAAATTTAAGTACGTTCCAATTTTCTTACCCAACGATACTCAAAGTAAATTTTATAATGGATTCTGTAATGGAATACTTTGGCCATTGTTACACTCGTTTTGTGATGATGTTTGTTTTACATTCAGTGATCACCGGGCATATATTGAAGCTAATGAGGTATTTGCTGATAAAATATTAGAAGTAGCTGATGAAGACAGTACTATTTGGGTACATGATTATCACTTGTTTTATCTACCAGAAATTCTTAAGAGAAAAAATCCAAAATTAAAAGTTGCTTTCTTTTTACACGTACCATTCCCAGTTTATGATAACTTTGCAATACTTCCATGTTCTAAACAACTTGTTAAGTCAATAGCTTATGCAGACATAGTTGCATTCCATGTTCCAGAATATGTAATTAACTTTTTAGAAAATATTAAAAAGTTCGAAATTGATAAAAGACCCATCACTAAAGCTATCTCTATAGGAATTGATCCTAATCAATTTAGAAAGACATGTGAAGAAGAAAGTACTATTAAGTTTTATAACGAAATTAAAGAGAAGTATAAAGATAAAAAGATTATTATTGAAATTGATAGAACTGATTATATAAAAGGATTTCCAGAAAAGTATAAAGCAATAGAAAGATTCTATAAGAAGTATCCAGAGTATGTTAAAAAGGTAGTATTTTTACAGGTTGCAATTCCCAGTAGAATGGATGTTAGGGAATATTCTTGTTACGTAAAAGACTTTAATGCTCAAGTACAGGCAATAAACGGTAAAATAGGCGATTTACATCACACACCAGTTAAATTACAATTTAGCAGTGTAAGTTTCAATGAATTATGTGCCTTGTATTTGGCAGGTGATGCACTATTTGTTGGATCAATTATTGATGGTATGAATTTAGTAGCATTAGAGTATGTGGCTTGTCAAGACAAGAATAAAGGAGTATTAATACTCAGTCAAAATATAGGAGCACTTATTTCATTACCAGGGGCAGTTCCTTATAATCCCTGTAACACAGAAGATGGAGCTGATACAATAAAAGAAGCACTTGAATTAACAGAAGAAAATAAAAGTGAAAGACATGAATTTAATAAAGAAATGATCGATAAATTTACAACCTTTAAATGGGCAGAAGACAACCTTAAATTCATAGAAGAAACATTTGAAGTAAAAAATGAATAAACTTCTTTTTAAATCATTTTATTAATAAATATTACATTTTCTAATAAATATTAATTTTTTCTATTAATAAAATTTTTTAATTAGAAAATATTAATATTTATTAATAAAATATTTTACTTTAATTTTTTTTGTTAATTAATCTTTTAATTAATTTATTAAAAATATCCATTTTTAATTTTTTTAAAATTAAAATCAGATTTAAGCATTTATATTTGATTTTTAACAAATTCTTTTTTAAAAAACAATAACAAATAAATTTTATAAATTTAATATTTTGGTAATAAATTGATGAATTAACCTTATTTTTTATCTTCTTTTCTATTCATTCTTTATTATTATAAAAGGAATCTTCTTATTTGAATGCAATTTTAAGGTTTTTTTGTTATTTATTCTTACCTTATTTATTTTTTAAAAAAAGGCGGGAGATATTTTAACGATCAAAAATGTACAAAGTTAAAGATGTCTCAATTAAGACTAAAAGAAGCTTTAAATTAAGAATTTGATATTCGATAGGTAAAAATTAATTTTTCTTTTTCAAATTATTAATAATGCCGGTAAAGTATTTT